TGTTGCACCATCCTGGAGCAGTAATTGTATCAGTCCTGTAAAACCAGGAGTTCCCGAGCACTCCAGGCTGGTCAGATGATCTAAAGCAAGAATGTCAGGAAACACCCCTTGCCAAGCAGTGAAAATGCAGACCACATCCTGCTGCTCTGTTTGCTGCTGCCCCTCTTTCCCACTGTATGGCATCCTTACAGAGGGTGCTTTTGTTGATGCAGCACATTAAAAAAAAACATCACATCAAGCAACAATCCAAGACTGCTTTAACACCCACAGCACCATGTGTCCTGGTAGAGTCTGTACTTGCTAACGGCTATATACTGGGATGGGCTTTTAGCAGAGATTCCTTTTGACGTCTCCTAGTGGGTGGTCAGTGGAAAGTTTTACCAGCTTTTCTTGTGTTTAGTTACATTTTTACTTGGATTACATATGGTAAGTATTTTTATTTGGATTTCTCACTGGAACTACTCACAGAAGACCATGCAAGTGGCAGTAATTTGAAGTAGTACCTACATCGCAGCCTGAGGATGATAGAAGGTTCCTATGCTGCTGGAAGTGTCACATTCTGTAGGACTGTCACCATGACCTTCACACAGTCATTGGAATGGTACCAGTGCAAATTTCTGCTACAGGAAGGCAAACATCATTTTCCAGATTGAGATGTATCTAGGAGAGCTAAATTTTTAATACTCTGTCCAGGCATTTGTGCCCTTCTGCCAAGGCTCCTATAGTAAACTACAGGTACCTGAATCGGTCTATAAATACACTATATTTATTTTACATTTGTGTAATTAACAGCTTTACAGTACTTCCAGGAGGTCAAAAATGCAGAGGGATAAACTAATGTTTAGAAAAGATTTGGTGAAGATAATACAGCTGGTTAGCACAGAGAGGGAGGATTAGCAACCAGATCCCCCAGTGCCACACGTCATTCCCAGATCTCTCTCTGGTTCCGTTTCTCCTGCCAGAATTAGCTCTAGAACTTCTGCATGCTTAGGAAAATTCAACAAAGGTTTGCTTATCACACTGCAACATTCCCTCACCAGAAAAGCTTAAAACTGTGCTTACCCTTAGCATTTTGCTGCTTTGGAATGACTAGGACTTGTTTCTCTCTGCAGAGCAGACATAGTGCTTTTAATCCTGTAAACGTTTAGGCAGTAATGGTGGAATAAAATAATCATTGCATTTAAATGGTTGCATTTGTAGTTGGTAAATGATCCCCATCTGCATGCAGTACATAAAGCATTTGAGCTTCTTCTAGATCAAACATGCTGTACAAGTGGAAGGGAGATCAAGATCTGAGGTGTATTTGGCCAGTTTACTTTTCCACAAGCATTCTTTGTACATCCATTTTTTAAAAGAACATAAACCACTAACTTGTAGAAAACTCAGCTGAATGCACCATCAGGATGAGATTGTGGTCCTTGTTCTTTATTTTTCAACAGGGCTGAGAGGCAAAAAGAGGTCAAGTGACTTCCTCAAGGTCAGAGATCGTCAGTGAGTCATAAAGAAAGGACTGTTTGCCTTACAACCCTGCATTCATTCTGCATGGCTCTATGCTGCTGGTAGGCTTTTGTCTTTGCCTACCCTAGCAATTTCTGGGAGCCTTGGCCATGCTGCTGCTCTTTCCTCTGGTGACATTCATCAGAACGACTTGTGGTAAAATGGTGGGGTATTGGCAGGCCCATGCAAGAATGCAGCAGCACAGATGTGAAGGGGAGTCCCTTTAAAGCAAAACTCTTGGAGCTTAAAATGAAGCCCAGATAGCAGCTTAGTGAAAGAAACATAAGCAGCTCTGCCAGTGGCAAGTTCTGAAAATCTTTGGCTGATTTAAAATAGTAATTTTTAAAAAAACACAAGAACTTAAAACCCAGGATCTGGGATCCTTTGAAATGGGCTAAATAGTTTAGGCTGTAGGTGTGCCACACAGCTCTACAACAGCAGACCTTGGGAAACACACCAAATATTGGGGGGCTTTTAATAAATATGAGAGCTGGCCACCCCATCTTACAGTAGAATTGCCTTTTGAAGGTGCTCTACAAAATAAGTGGACCTAAGCAAGAATCTGTGTGCATATATCTGCCTAAATTTACCTTCGGCAGGCAATGACAGGCACTGACAACCGTTTAGTATTTGCCCACACGTGCCTACTCATGCAATTGGTCAGATTAAAAAAAAAAAAAGCAACAAAAAAAAAACCCTAACAACCCCAGCCTTTACTCATGAGATCACACAAAATCCCCTCTGGGTGTATTTCTCACCTATGTGCATATTTACCTGTAGCTGATGCTCTCCTCTGACTCTCTTGCTGCATCTAAACAAGTCAGTGTGTGTGTGCATCTGTAGCTGTGATGCAAAGCATCTCTGACAGGTGGATGTGTGGTGCCTACATGAAAAACGACAGTGCAAAAGCAAGGTGGGCTTCTCAAATGCCAGGCTTAGAGAGTAAGCGGAGGTGCTAAAAGAACTTGATAATAAGGACACTCAGATGACAGCTGGTAATGCTACCGGCTGTACTTCAGAGCTAAGTGAAAAGCTGCCTTCTCCAGAGTTAACATGTACTGCTGCTATGCTTTCTGAACTATACAGATTTATTTATTTTAGAAACAGCTCTAGGCGGCCAGCAGTGCTCAGAAGCAAAATTCCGTGCATCTCCTCTGCTCCCCATGTCAAGTAACACTGACTTCAGCTGTAACAGTACGTGCTGGTGCCTCTGCTAGAGCCCACTGTGTAAACAAACTGGTGTCTTCTGCTGCATCACACTTAGAAAAAATGAAGTCCCACTTCTACACATCTTGAAGATGCTATTAGAAATATATACTGACTATTGTTAAATTTCTGTTAAATTACTGTTAAATTTTAAAGAAACTCCCTCTCCTCTCTTCTTTCCTCTTTCAACATGAATTCACTGATCCTCCTGCTAGAATGGGAGCTCTGTGACTGGGCTAGGAGTAAAACCACTGCAATTCCAGTTTAACTGCACACTCCCCTCTCCAGTATGCAGGGCATTTCTTTAGAATTGCTTGCAGATAGCTCAGCAGACACACACGAAGCTATGCATTTCTGAGACAAATGCTGTTCTCTGCTCTGTGCATGCCATCTACTGAAAACATGTGACAACCGCCTGTGCAAAATGACAGCTTGACCTGCTGTGAGGTTATCCCAGGAAAAGCACTGCTTGGAAGTCCAGGGTTAATTATACTCACCTCCTCCTGTGTTCATACTGGTTAAATTTAGGAAAAAATCTGTTCATATCTAGAATAAACATGGAGAATATTTCTCACACCAATTGCTACTGCTGATCAAGATCAAATACAACCAACAGTGACAAAAATTCCTTGCACAAACATGAACCTGTAAAACAATGAGCTGGACAATGACAGTGACACAGGACAACTCCATCAGCAAGAGTCAAGACATTTCTAGCAAGTGGAACTTGTGTACTGGCAGAAAGCGCCTCAGAAGCAAATTCCATTCCTCTCTCCCACTTCATTTACCTTCTACCTACCACATCTCATTTGTATCCAGCAGAGATAGTGCCTGTGAGCCCTTTTTCAAGCCCAGGAACTCACCAAGCTATATTGTTCAGAGTATTATGGGCTCTTTGTGTAACCCTGCCAATCTAAATGATCCTTGCCAAATACAATAGATTTTAATAAACCTGTGAAAAGAAATTTGTAGAGAGACAAAATTACATCTGTGCAATTATGGTATTACTCTGAAATCTCACTTGCCTCTCCACCTACAAGATTTCAATAGGCTTTTGAAGGAAGAGTATTTGGAAACATGATGAAAAGGAGCTAAATTGTGCTCCTCATTCCATCCCAAAAGGTATGCTGAATGTCAGAGATTGGCATGCATTATGATGAGACGATGCTGGCTTGGTGTTTCAAACCATTCACTTTACACTGCATCTTTTCTACGACTAGAGAACAGGAAACAAAGCTAACCAACTCTGTCTAGAAAGCCAAAAGGTAATGTCCTGATTTGCACCATTTTTTACCCCCAAGGATAGAAAGGGTGGTAAGTGACCCTTCATCCTTCTGGAAAACAGCAGAGCTTTTTAAATGCTGTTGTTTGGTGTATCTTGTCCAAGTTATGAATGCTCTCTTCACTGTATGTAACTAGGCACAAGTTTTTGTTGTAGAGATGCTTTCAGGCTTGGAAAGAAAAAACCCGTGTGCTGCTGGGGACTAAAAATAACATCTGATCCTGCACTTGTTTGGATAAAGCTTCTTGAAGTCAACAGGAGTTCTGTTTCTGTAAGGACTTCAGAATCAGACTACAAAGTAGTTAAACCCCCCCACCACTCCTCTCCATCTTCCTGCAGCACTTCTAAACAGATGGCAAGGAGCAAAGGGAGTCACGATCAAATGTCTACTGACCACAGTGATGACTGGCAGCTAGTGAAAAGCCAGGACCGTATTTGCTTTCAACTTTAAGTGCTGAGAAGCGAAAAAATTCTTTTTATATCTTGTAGAACTATTTGGAGGTATTGCAGTTGCGCCCAAACCCTTCCCCTTCTTTACATCAAATGTGGTAGGAGTCCGTCTCTCTGTAATACCGTTAATTACAGGCTCCAGAGCTGTGGCGAAGGGACTGAAGGACATCTCGGGCTGAGGGTACAGCGCAGCAGGCAATCTTGGCCATTTCACGAGCCACGATTTCTGCCAGCCGGAGCGCCCCACGCACGCACCGCCGCCCTGCCACCTGTCTCCCGGGGGAGGAGGGCACGGATTCATCGGGGGCAGATGGAGCCGCCCGCGGGAAGGGCTGGGGGTCGCGGGCGAGCCCGAGCGCCAGGAGCGGCCGCGCGCCCCCTCCCCAGCGCTGCCCGGGGCAGCACGGCTGTGCCCAGCGGGAGCGCGAACGCGAAAATGGAAGCCAGCGGAAGGGAAGGAGATGCGGCGAGCGGAGCGGGGCGGCAGCGCTGCTCTGCGGAGGGGGAGGGAGGTGTGCTCGGCGCAGGTGGGGACCCACCGCCCCCCGCCCGCGGCCCCGCTGACCTGCCAGGCTGTTGTAGCAGTCGACCTCGATGGCCTCCACCGCCTGCCGCTGCTCCTCGCTCAGCCCCGCCGCGGCGGCGGCGGCGGGAGGGCGCTGCCCGGCCGGCTCCTGGCTCAGCAGCAGCAGCAGCGCCTTCAGCTCCAGCAGGGCGCGGTGGTACTTGCCGATGGCCTCCCGGAATTTCTTGTCCTTGTAGCACTGCGCCCCTTCGCTCTTGAAATCCAGCGCCCGTCCGATGAGCTCGCCCGGCTCGGCGCTGCCCGCCGCCGCCGCCCGCGGCTGGGCACCGCCGGCGGGGCCGTGCCCATCGCCCGCCCCACGGCCGCCGGCGTTCAGCTTGCCCGCCGCCGGGCTCGCCCTCTCCATGGCCGCGGCGCCGCCCGGCTCCCGCGCCGCCCTACGCGGGCGATGCCGCGGCGCCCGCCGCCGCGCTCCCGGCCTTGCCCCCGCGCCGCTCCGCGGCTCCGCCGCTCGCTCCCATCCTCCGGCGGCCGCCGCTCCTCCTCCCTCGCCCCGCCGCCCGCGGGGCGCCCGCCTCCGCCCGCCCCCGCCGCCCGCCGCGGGCACCACCGCCCCCCGCTCCGCTGTGACCCCCGCCCGGCGCAGCGCGGGGCGGCGGGGGCGAGCCCCGGGCGTGGGGATGCGCCGGCTCCGCTCCCCGCTCACCGCATCGGCCCGGCAAGGGGCGAGCGTACGGCGGTACCCTCAGCTCCCCGGACTGGCCGACCCCACAGGCCCCCCCCCCGCCCGCCGTCCTGCTCTCCCTGACACTGGGTTCCCTCCGGCCCCCACAGCCGGGCCCCTTCTGCTCCCCTATGCCTTGCCACGCCGTACCTGAGGGTCTCACCTTCCTGTCTGCGGGCTGAGATTCCACCTCCTCCATTCCCCTCGTCACCCCAGTTTCCTGGCTCCATCTCCTCTCCCAGATCCCACCAGTGGCCATCCACCATCAACACCTGTTCATGGTCCCTCAAAGTGTTTTGCTGTGTGTACTTCATATCACTGGGCAAAACAGTGCCAGACCATGAAATCTCCCGTGTCCTCTGCATCAGGGCAGCAGAAGCAAAGGCCCAGTAACTGCCCCGGCACCAGTTACTCAGGGACTTTGATTTTCCTGAAACAGATTTTCCTATGTGCTGCTGAAAAATGTGTCGATGTTCACTGATGCCTAGAACATGTCCTGGTTTGGGGGTATCAGTGGGAAGTGACTCTCCTGCTGCAGACCAACAGCAGATAAAATGTGCGCAGCAAGAGGCATTGTTTTGCTAGGCCTAACACCATGTCTGCATTGAATATTAGAGCAGTTGGATGTATTTTGGCTGCATTGTTGTGCCAAGATATTTTTTAGGTCTTACCTCGTGCTTAAAAACTAGACAATGAATGAAAAAAAAAACCACAGCAAATTTTTTTTCTCAATAATATATTGGGATGCATCTTTTCATTACCCACGCAACTCTTACATGGCTATTAAGGCTGCAGCTGCGGTGCAATGTGTTCAAGCTTCTCTCTGCAACCATGAAGACATTTTAAAATGGAGACTTGAGTTTCTCTATGGGGTATGTACAGCCTACCGTGGTGACATGTGGTGTTGCAGTGCTGGGCAAACTGAGATAGCTGTGTGGCAAAGCTCCATGTAAAGTATTAATGCAGCTCTGGGACTGGTGCCTGGATAATTCCTTGTTAGAAGGGCCAATGAGTTGGGCTTTATTCATTGGTAATGTTAGTCCCTGCTGGGGACTAAGTTAACTAAGTTTCTGGACCTTGTTGAGGCTGTGGTCAAAGTGTGGGACAGATACACATCTACTCACTTGAATCCAAAAGCCAGAGCCACAAGGAGAAGCAAATAGCATTGCACTTATTATGCTAGAACTACAATTTTGAAAATGCTTTCACAAGAGAAATTATAGCTAAAGTATTCAGCAATGATTATATGACTTCAAGCGCTTTTCCAGGTGCCCTACTAGATATATCTTCAAGAAATCTTCTTGTATGAAAATGGATGCTGTCCTGGGGTGACTTTATGATACTGGTATCCCCAATCGTCTGGTTTATGTTATATATTAAGTTCTGCACCTTTAAGACTGGCTTTGAGAGCAAGAGAGGGGGAAGAAGAAGCGCGCAGTTTGTGTTAAGGAAAAACATCACTCCCACACATCCCGCTCCTGGACTGTGGTGTCTGCAGCACGGACAGACAGCGGGACAGAGCTTCTCTCTGGCTTTTAGTTAGTTCTAGCTAGCTGAGGCAGAGGAGTTCCCTGGACCTTTGTTTTTTTTCTTTTTTTCCCTTTTTTCTTGGATCTGTGCAAGCCTGCTCTGGACTGAACACCCAGCCAAACCCCGGGAGCTCACGCCTGTGGCCCACCGGGGCCTGGGCCTCGGCACTTTCCAGCGCCAGAGGGACTGATAAGAACCTGAGCGAGCCGAGCTACACCACATGAAAAGGACTTTTTTTTTTCTTCTTAGACTTGCCATCCCATCGAACAGCAAGAGGTTTTATTATTTAATATTATTCAATTTCTGTTAAATAAACAGCTTTTTCCACTTCTCTCCAAAGAATTTTTTTTTCCTTTCCCAGACCAGTTGGTGGGGAGGGGGCATTTCCCTAGAGAAATCCCATTTAGAGTTTTCCTCCCTAATTTGCCCTCAACTAGGACAGATGCTCAGCATTTTCAGGTACCTCAAGCCAAGAGTGAGATTAATTACTTACAAATCTTGCTCAAAGTACATGTGATCTAAAATCAGGAAATCCTGGGAGGCGGGTGTGGTGGTGGTGGATATTAGTCACAGTAGCTAGAGTGGAATTGATATGTAGAATCTAAATATTAAGGAAGGAAAATTCCTGTTGGGACATTGTTTTAATCTGTCTGCTAGTCACATTACACAAAGAAAGCTGAAGAAATTTCAGAGGTTTCATTTTACCATTATTGATTGCTGCCTGGGAGAATTCACAAGGACAATATATATCTCTTGTGCTGGAACACGACTTTGCCAAAGGAAAGGCGATTGCCACAGAGGATTAATTGCTGAGATCTGAGCAGCTGCAGAAGCTATTGAAGAAGGTACTGTTTTCTTGGAGGGTAATGTAACAAAATGACATTGGGAGTAGTTGCTTCCCTTTTTCAGTGTTTGCCGGAGCCCATGGACCTACATGGCATAGGGGGCACTGAGACATAAGTGACTTGTTCTCCTCTCCCCCCCTCTGCTTAAGGGATCTTTGAGATTTCTTCCTTTGGTTACTGATCACCAGTGGTAGTGTGAAACAAGCTATGAAAAGTGTAAATTTTCTTACAGAGGAGTTTGGCAGTGGCCACTGGCATTATGGGTGCAGATGTGCAAAATAGCTATAAAACTGGGTGGTTCTTGCATTATGAACTATACTGAATATACCAAATTGTGGCTTAGTCCCAAACATTGCCTAAGCACCCAAATGAGTTTTCCACCTTCTTCCAGAAATGTCCAAACTCTCTTCCTGACATTGCTGGTGCCTGTGAAGGTGAATGCCACAACCTTGTAAATCCCAAAACAGACCATAACAGAAACATCTGAATGATTGCTGTTTATTGGCCAACTTAAACTCTTTTGATGGCAAAGAGAATCCCTCAGCTGAGAGCTGGATCTCTCAGCCAGAAAATTCAAAGCTGCTATAAGATGTGCAGGATGACTGGCAAAGGTCAGTTTGGTCCACCATATCCTTCTTCCTGGAGAGGAGTTAAGTAGTACTGGCTGTACTAAAATATTTAGGAAACATCACACCAGTCATTGGGTCACCACACTGACCACAACATAAGGGACTACTTTTGTTTGCTTGCTTGCTTTTCAAGAGGAATGTGGTGCTTGGAGGAAAACATGAGAAGTTGTCACCTTTCCAAGTCAGACAAGATTTGTGCTTGGGAGATACCTCACATTTCATCTAACATGATTTCAGCTGTCTCCGGCCCACTAGACTCACCATCTAGGCTTGCCAGTGGTCAACACCTTTAGTGATATTCCGCTTGAAAACATGACAGGGACCTGAAAGCATCAGAAAGAGGAAGTTTATATATTATATTGATGCTCTGAACTGTGAAATAAAGCATACATACATTAGGGCAAAATTAAGCCAGTTTGTAGTCATTACCCATGTGCCATGAGATGAGGTCATGATATCGGTCAGTATTAGCTGTGATGCCTGTCTTTTGTCCAACAGTGAGGGATTTTCTGTCCATAGAAGCAGAATGTGCTTATCTATCCCATTCTGTAATAGATGGGGTGTACCTGTCTGTCTGGATGCCCCCAGGTGCTGTGAGTATCTAAAACTGCCTGTCTCTCCTCCTCCACACTGAGCTTTCCTCAGCATGTTCCAAAACCATACACTTGCATTGCTTAATTATTATTAATAGTAGTATTATGCAGAGGTCACATGCTTCATAGGACATTTTAGGATCTGTGACTCACTAAACCATAATTTCCTGTTCACAGGTTACCTGAAGAAAATTGTGTTTGTGGAGTCCTGTTCATGGCTGGAAGATGTGAGGGGAAAAGGGTAAATATTGAGAAACATACTGGATCTTATATATCTGTGAGCTGTCCCAGCTTTCTTACAGGTGCAATTGTTTCTGCCTGCACATAAGACTATTAATTTACAGACATATGCAACAGATTCTCTACATTTCAGGATACTGCTGTAAGGAAACTGGAAAGGTTCCTGAGGCAGTTGAGAAGACTGCGTAGTTGGGCTCTGGTGGGGCATTGAAGGGCTGGAGAATCTTTCCTATGAAGACAGGCTGAGGGAGTTCGGATTGTTCAGCCTGGAGAAAAGAAGGCTTGGAGGGGGGGACCTTATTGCAGCATTTCAGTACCTAAAAGGGGCTAGAAAGAAGTTGGAAAGGGACTTTTAACAAGGGCAGGTAGTGTTATGACAAGGGTAGTGGCTTTAAACTGAAGGAGGGCAGATTTATTGAACATAAAGGAGACATTTGTCTATGATGAGGGGGGTGAGGCAGGTGAGGTGAAGAGGTTGCCCAGAGAAGCTTCTAGAGAACAGATCCCTTGGAGTGTTCAAGCCCAAGCTGGATGGGGTTTTGAGCAGCTTGGGATAGTGCCTTGTCGAGTAGGTTGGAACGAGACGATCTTTAAGATTCCTTCCAACCCAAACCATTCTATGATTCTTCTAGATGGATGTAAATCCACTGTAGCATTTATACTGTGAGCTTGTTATAAATTGGAACTCTAAGGGCCGCTATGAAGAAGCAAGTTTATATAGACTGAAAACCAGATACCCATTTGGAAAGCATATAAGGCCTCAGTCCAGTTCTTGTGCATTCATTCATGTTGATGGAACCATTGAGCATGTGAGAGTTGTTTCATCAAATCCTTCCTGCCAAAGC